ATTAATTTGTTTCTGATTCTTTTGTTTTCTTGTATTTTATCGCTCTGCTAACCCTTGGGGTCCATTTTATTTTGGTATACCTTTTCTAGGTACGTTAGCCTGTGACCACGGAAATTGACCGAGTCAAGTGCTGTATTAGTAGGGAGAGATTGAGACAGAAGGAGGTACTGGATAGAGAGACCGGAATGGTTTTTAATGTGAAGACAACAACAACAACAACAACAACAACAACAACAACAGCAACATAGGGTGGGCCGCTCACGCGTATCACAGCACACCTTAAACCCTTCAGGCACATGTCTTCCATCATTAAGCCTGGCCTCGGCTCTTGTTGCACATTGAACACGGTATCTTCGGTAANACCAACTCGATCTTTCCCGTCCAATACCTCATAACGAAATTACCGTACTGTTTCAATTCCTCCTCGTGCTCCCAAGTGCACAGTTCGGTTTCGTCCCAATGTGTGTAATATTGAACCGCAATCTTTCCTGACAATCCTCGCACCAACCGATGCTTGGATATTTTCCATGGCACATTACGGTACGTGTCCAAGTTTATCTGCACGTCTTCACCCGTAAGATGGAAAGGAGGTGATAACTCAGAGTATTTGTTCAGAACATAATTACTCATGGCCCACGGTAAAAACCTTGGTTTGTCATCCTCTGAATGGGGTTNTCCTGACAATCCTCGCACCAACCTATGCTTGGATATTTTCCATGGCACATCACGGTACGTGTCCAAGTTTATCTGCACGTCTTCACCCGTAAGATGGAAAGGAGGTGATAACTCAGAGTATTTGTTCAGAACATAATTACTCATGGCCCACGGTAAAAACCTTGGTTTGTCATCCTCTGAATGGGGGTTAAAACATTTCTTCACCCTCAATACAGATACCCGAGATGTTATGTCTTTTCCCATCCTTTCGTATGTCTAAGAGCACCAGTTTAGGCCCTATNGACGTTATGTCTTTTCCAGGTTCATCCTTTCGTACATCTAAGAGCACCAGTTTAGGCCCCACTTCTCTGCCATCAGGCGCGGTTCCAGGTCCAACAAATAACACCCGATATGGTCCAGTCCAACAGTATGCCAACTTGGACACCAAAGCAAAGGACTTTCTCTCTCCAGACTTGATTGTTTGAGGTTTCAGCACATGTTTCCCTCCTCCAGTTATAGTGCTCTGATCATTATATAACCACACCCAATCGTTCGCCTCAATTTTAGGGCGCCTGGTTTTGAGCTCCTTCACCAAAGCTCCGTTAGCCTTAGCGTGTTTAGCTTTGATCAATCGGTCTTCTTCTTTAAGCAGATGATAGGGNGTAAGATGGAAAGGAGGTGATAACTCAGAGTATTTGTTCAGAACATAATTACTCATGGCCCACGGTAAAAACTTTGGTTTGTCATCCTCTGAATGGGGGTTAAAACATTTCTTCACCCTCAATACAGATACCCGAGACGTTATGTCTTTTCCAGGTTCATCCTTTCGTACATCTAAGAGCACCAGTTTAGGCCCCACTTCTCTGCCATCAGGCGCGGTTCCAGGTCCAACAAATAACACCCGATATGGTCCAGTCCAACAGTATGCCAACTTGGACACCAAAGCAAAGGATTTTCTCTCTCCAGACTTGATTGTTTGAGGTTTCAGCACATGTTTCCCTCCTCCAGTTATAGTGCTCTGATCATTATATAACCACACCCAATCGTTCGCCTCAATTTTAGGGCGCCTGGTTTTGAGCTCCTTCACCAAAGCTTCATTAGCCTTAGCGTGTTTAGCTTTGATCAATCGGTCTTCCTCTTTAACCAGATTATAGGCTTTAACTTGTCTAGCCCTCATTAATTCGAGATAGTCTAGCTGATCTTGTTTAAAGCTCTGGTGACCCTTCACCCCACGACCTTCCAAGATCGTCATCGGTTATCTGGTATATCGACCTATGTGGATCTCATTGGGCGATAATCCGGTTCCCCTGCTCATGTTGTTATTTTGTGCTGCAATTGTAGTACTCAAATATTCATCCCAATTCTTCTGGTCATCCGCAATTAGATGAGACAACATATGACATAGGGTATGATTCAGACGTTCCACCATGCCATTTGTCTGTGGGTGATATGAGCTAGTAAACATTTTCACCGTTCCCTGCATCCGGTATATCTCCCTGCTCACAGGTGCGGTAAACTCTGCCCCTCTGTCAGACAGAAATGTGTGCGGACAACCCCATCTAGGGATATACTGTTGCACCAGTATTGCGGAACATCCCTGAGCTGTCTTTTCTGCAGCGGTTAATGCATATGCTTCAGCATACCTGCTAAACAGATCAATCACCAGAAACACATACTGTCTTCCTTTCTTGGTTTGTGGTAGAGGTCCCAAGAAATCAAAGGCCACCATTTCACCGGGCCTACTCGGCAAAGGTAAAGATATTAGGGGCCATCTTCTAGTATGCCTCGGAGTCTTCCTCGCTTGACATGCGTAACACGCTCGGCACCACCACTTTACACTTTGATTCTGCCCTATTCACCAATAATATCGTTTAAGGATTCCGAGAGTAACCTTCTCACCTAGGTGTATCGCTTCCTTGTGAGCGCAGTCCATCACCCAAGGTCTCAGAAGCATCGGCACGTAGGTACGAACAGGCTCTTCTCCCAATAGTCGTTCGTACTCCCCAGGATTCCTGTTAGGACGTTCAGCGGGCATTGTGGTTAACTTCTTGACCAACAATTTCTGTCCATCAGGTAACTCCAAGAGTTCGCCTTGTGCCAATATTCTCTTTCTTTAATCAAAATCCGCACCTATTGGTGGATCATCCTTCGAAACTTCAGACATCACTGTTCCCTTATGTAAAAACGTTATCGCCGTTTTAACAGTGATATCCTTTCCCTGAGCTTCAGCCCAATCCGCAGCCTTCTTTTTGCAGAGATTTTCTCCAAAGTTTCTTGCTTCTTGACTGTCCCACTCTTCATATGGCATCATATCATCGTCGGGTTCGGGTATTGCTTTCATGTCATTCTACTCTCTCCCTCCGAAAGTAAAACCCGTGGTTCACCCTCCGCGAGCCCACCCAAGCTTGACACATATGTTTCACCGGTTTGCACATTTGCAGGCAACTCACCGCTTGCATCCAAGAAGTACACATCGACGTCTTCTGGGTCAGTCAATCGAAGTGCAGGACTGGAGTCTTGTGATGTTGCAGGCAGCGGTAATCTGGACATCATATCCGCGTTGCCATTCTTTTTGCCGGGCCTGTATTGTAACGTGTACGTATATGCAGACAGAAAATCAAACCATCGTCGTACGCGATTAACCTTAGAGGACAAACTCTCCAGGTTTACCAATGGCTGATGATCGGTGACCACCTCGAAAGGTATACCATAGAAATATTGACGGTTCTTTGTAATCGCCCTCACCAAAGCACCACATTCAAGTTCCGTTGGTGTCCACTGCATCTCGTTAGGAAGAGTAGATCTACTCAAGAAACACAAAGGTCTGGTCGTGTCATCAGGTTGATCCTGTTCTATAACTGCACCCAATCCATCCTGGGACGCATCCGTGATAACACGAAATTTTCTGACCCCCGATATAGCATCTCGATAAGTCGGAAGGGCNCCCCGATATCGCATCTCGATAATTCGGAAAGGCTAACACGTCCGGACTAGACAGTTTATCCATCAACCGTTGTACGATTTCCACATGTTCCGTGCCAAAAACAAACTTGGTACCCTTCTTCAAGAGATTGTTTAACGGACGCGTTTGAGCTGCCATATTTGGAAGGAAACTTCGATAGTAGCTCAGCCCACCCAAGAGTGACCTCAGCTGGCTAACGTTCGTTGGCATAGGAATTCGTTGCAAACTAGCCACTTTAGCTGGATCCGGTTTTAGACCCTTCGCAGTGACTTCGTCCTAGAAACTTGACGACCCTAACACCCAGGCAAGTTTTCTTAGGTGCGAGTTTAAGGTTAAATTGCTTTAACCGCTTGAAAAAAATGTGTCGTGTCAACAACATGTTCTTTCCCGCTCTTAGAGAAAATAACAATATCGTCGATGAACAGCTTACATCGTTCAAGCCCTTCGCATACACGCAACATAATGCTTTGGAACCATCCTGGGGAACTAGCCAACCCCATGGGACACCGAGTCCACTCGTAGTTACCGAAAGTTGTGCAAACAGCTGTAATCGGAATACTGTCAGGGTGAATTGCACACTGGAAAAATCCTGAGATCAAATCCATTGTACTAAACACTTTCGCACCCTCCAATCCCAACAGTAAATCAGCCACCGTCGGTAACAGTAACACCGGAATGATCGATTGCTGATTAACCTTCTTGTAATTGCAAGTTAACTAAATTTTTCCATTGGCTTTTGCCACCACAACCAACGGAGACGACCAAGCAGAATATGACCTCCGCAATATTCCTGCCAGTAACAAACGATCAATTTCGCACTGCACCTTCGCTGCGATGACAGGCGAATGCCGGTAAGGTCTTTGCTTAACAGGCTGTGCGTTCTTCTTAAGGATTATTCGGAAAGGATATACAGCCACGTAACCCATATCCGTCGGATGTTTTGAAAAACGATCTTCCACCGCACAAAGCAAATCCCCAATATGTCTTTCGGTGTCCATAATCCAGCCTCGAAATCGAATTAGTGGTCTGTAGATGTACTGGAATATTTTCCCACAAATTCCTGAAAGCTAGTTGCTGGTCCGCATCCAAACAACGCAGCACATCTTCAGGCAGATCTTTAATGCCCTCACCTGAAACATCTTCCACCACTGTTCCTACAAGCTCATCGATGTCAGACTTCGGTAGTTCTTCAACCACATCGAGTTCTAACTTGGCTCCGCCAGTTCCCAACCGCATTCCTTGCTGAACTTGGAAATTATCTTCCCCCGTGCGATGTGGCGGAATCTCGGACATTCCAGCATCGACGATGGCTTCCTGCGGGANCCAGTTCCCAACCGCATTCCTTGCCGAACTTGGAAATTATCTTCCCCCGTGCGATGTAGCGGCATCTCGGACATTCCAGCATCAACGATGGCTTCCTGCGGGGACCAACCATCGGCAGAACGCACGTAATATGAACCGTTATCAGCGGCAGTACCATCGGAATTCGTCAATTCCACTGTTACCCAGGACAGCGCATCCGGCAACCTCATTTGTGTACCCGCGTATCTCACAATGACTTTGTTAGTGGACTCAGGTTCCACCAAACTCACCGCTGCGTCAACCCATGCCGCAAAAGCAGGATCTGTTGCAGGTGAATCTTCAATAGCCCCCGCAAAGGTAACTATTGTTTCGTCATCGTTAACGTCTTCATACTTTCGTTGAGGAAATTCTTCCCAACTGTCACGGCCTAATAAAACAGCGTGAGACATAGCATTGTCTGGCACCATATTAGCGAACGCTGCTAAACAGGCTGTACAAGAGCCTATGTTTCTTGGTGCGTAGCGACCACCTCGCCACATATGCACATTAAGTCTCACCCGTTCCGATGTTTTCAATGGGACTCCATTAAAGCCTCCCCATTGCAAATGCTTTCCATTTTTGATCCCGTCAGAGGATGCTGCTCCGCATGCAAGCANCGACCCAACTACACCACCACGCGCATGCCTCGCGGCGGATATGCGCAGCAGCAAGAAGGTTTCGGTCATCCCTTGAGGGTGAGTCTAGCCCTGCTCGCCAGAAAGACCCCCCCCTTCACTACAACCCATGTCTAAGCAAAAGCTTGTCGAGGAGCGAGGGGAAGAAGGGAGAAGGACACTGCGGCAGTATGATTACTCCTGTTAAGAGTAACATCACCTCCTGCAACTCGCGAAAATTCTTGCAAATAATCCGCTCTTTCCCCCGGTTTACGGGATACCTTGGGAGGAGGAAACACCGTATCGCGCGTGATTTTGGCGTCAAGTTTTTCCTGGTTATTATTCAACGCGAAAATGTTGTCTTCATTAGTCGCATGTGAAATAAAATCTTTACTGTTTTCTGCAGAATCATCACCAATACTAGGTTCAATTATTGGTGGCACGGTACCTGCTGAGTTCCCAGCACTTGCACTTCTGCTGTACTGATCAACTTNCGATGCTTTCATGAGCCAAACCACTTTGCGCAGAATCAACGCCAACACTTGCCTTTAGTGTTGCCGTGCGGGAACCTGCTGAGCCGGCAGTACGTGGCGTTCCTCGACCCAGGAATCCAGTCACCTTCGACGACTGCCTTGCTCGCCCCATAGAAAAACCTCCCCGAGTGTGAACATGACCTGTGGGGGGTATACTCTTCGCCTGATCTAACGAAGGGGGTCCATTCATAACCCCTGTAGCTAAAGACAGTGACGACTTGTGCGTTTTTTCTTTGTCTACTACACTCAAAACATCCGGACCTTGCGTTCTTGTGGAAGTTTCGCTTCGAACCGTTGAGTTAGTCGGGGGCCTATTCCGATCAACTACACTATTCGGACGGTCAACCCCCGCGATGGAAGTTGTGCACTCCAATGTATCGGTTTGTGTACTCGGGTCTGGACAGGGGTAATTACTTCCTGTCTCTGGGAGCTCGAGTGGTACAACTTCAACACCATTGTTACCGTTTGAGACCGTCTCTTCATCGAGCCTGTTACCATGACTCGTGGCGTGCAACACGGACTTGATCTTTTTGTTTTTTTTGTTCTGTAGAGTTGTATTGTTTTCTCCCACATTTGCCACACCTAAAGTCACACACACATCTTGAGACACATTGTGATTTGGTGGCCGCTCTGCCTCCAACAAACGGGCCGGTTTGTTGTCGGGCCGTCATCCTTGATGACCCCCAGAAAAAAAATTCTTTCGCTGCGTTTCGCCCACGAGGTCAAACGTTGTTGCCATTTCCGCCAATTTTGTTCGACTGTGGCAGGGTCACCGATGGCGATGTCCGGATGTATCAATCCCGAGACATTCAGGAGTTTTTCTTTGCATTCACGCGCAAAGTGAAAGGGGGACTCTACCCCACAGTTAAGACACCTAGGTCCAAAGTCGCGCCGAGCTTTGTCCCGTTCTTGTGGACTCGCAAACTGAACATAGAACGGAGGCTCATCATTATTTGGGCCAAACCCTCTTTGTTGTAACACTTGGTTCACTTGACAAAATTCTCGTGTCTCATCGTCAAATTGTGCTACGGACATGACAACATGTCGCGACCCTACTGTTTCGGGCAAAGACTGGGAGGAAGCATTCTGCTTCGTACCCGAATAGGAACCACCTCCATATCGACCCCGCGTCCCACCCGACGCAACAACGGGTCCCCGAGACACAGCAGACCCCACGCCCCGCACGCGCGTGGACGAAGTGGCTGTAGTCGTATTTTCAATCATGTATTCAAGAGCTGCCATCAGGTCGTCTAACTTATCGTACGGCAGAGCTTGCGTGTTTCTACCATGAAACACCGGAGCGGTCAAAGTAGCAAACTGGTCTGTCACGCCAGCTTTCACAGCTACTTGCAAAGTACCGTCCTCAGCAAACCCAACCAGTTGAACGCTCTCAACTAGCACCTTGAGCTCTTCAAGGTACGCCTTGAAGGTGGTGCCAACTGGCACCGCGAACTTCTGCAGCTGCTGCAGCACCAACGCCGACGTCACTTCGCTCAGTCCACCACAGACCGACCGCAGGACCATCGTCAGGGGGCGTCAGGACCACTGGTCTTCGCGTCCATTGCCCGTCTCGCTTGTGTGATAGCTGCCACTAGAATCTGCTTGGTGTGAGCAAAATCAGGATGGTTTTTCCGGACCGCATTAATCAGATGTCGTTCGAGCACATTTCCCCACCCTCGGACCCAATGATCCTGGGAAAAGTCTTGCGCGCTCACACGAATCTGATCTACCGACTTCGTAATGGCAGTCGATAGTTGGACGAGGTCGACCACATCATTATCGTTCTGCAGCGGCAAGAGCGGCATAACTATTAAGTTTTTAACAGCCATTACCGCGAAACGACCCTGAATTTTTCGCTCTTAATCTACGTCGCTTGTCGGAGAAAGTGCAACAGGCAAGGACCCCTCTGTCCGTTCCGCCCGACCAACCGCCGCGGTCTTCATCGATTCCTCGGAACGATCCACAAGCCTGGTCACGCTCCGCTCGGGAATGCTCGAGTGCTCCGTCGGCACCTCGATTGCAATCGGGCTCACGCTCCCGTCTTCGGGGGTAGCGATTTTCTCGGCGGCCTCAGCCCCGTTGCGCGGTACCCTAGCGGTACGTCGCGCGTATCGACTGTCTGCCGATTTTCAGACGACCCCAACCGTGGACACTCGACGCACAAGCAAGCTAGATAAAGCTTGAAGCCGACGACGCCTGTGTGGAGCGAACTGGTACTCTGGGGTACTGGTTCTGCCTCTTCCTTGCTAACAGGCTCAGCCTTGTCAGAAGTGCATGCGCTTGTGTTCAAGCGTCTTGTGTTCGGCACGGTTGCTTTTGGGTGTCTTATTATTGACTCTCGGCAATCTTGCAATCAGCTTTGTACGGCGAGACTGAGGGCAAAGCTTTATGAGTTTACTAATTCATGTGCGAGGCTTAACGGAGCCAAGCTTCCGGACGGATCCAACTGCAACCAAGCGTTACAAACAGTCGCACGTCAGTCCGTGGTCTGCGATTCTCCTACTACACAACCATCTGATTGGTTGCCTTAATCCAATGAAATGCACAACCACATGTTACTGGCTAACTCTCAAAATCCTGGGTCTACGCTGGTTATTGCCTGGGCCCTAGGTCCGATGCATCCAGCTGGCTAAATCCGCCCTAGGTCTACGCTGCTTGGTTGGTCGGTCCAGTCGTCTAGACACTCAAAATTGTGTCGACCGTTTCAGATAATAACCAATAGCGCCCCACGTACTAGACTGAAACCCATTATCACCACGATGCCCAGTACAGCAGTAAAGGAGGGCTGAGTGCAGTCGCCCCCGCTTTAAAGACACCATTTTCAAAGACACTCCCCGCTTTAAGGACACAAAAAATCTCAGAAACATGATGCCTCGCAGATGTAGAAAAGTAGGGGGGGGGTACGGTTGTCCACCATCCGACCCCCCCCAGAAAATGTGCTGCAGCACCTGCAGATCCTGGATCATCAACAGCGGTCTGCTGCAGCCGCACACTGCGTGTGGGTGTATGGAAAGCTTCATTCCATCTGCTAGCGGTTCGTCTGCTGCCGGCTTGACGCCATGCGGCGAACCGACGTGCCAGTTCAAATCTGCACTGGTGTCACTGGTTCATCAGTGTCCGTGCGGGCGACCCATGCACGCGTTTTGTGGTCGGGGCATCGGAGAGGAAGGCCACGGACAGCAGAGAGAGTGCTCGGATTGCCTTGGGTGAAGTCTCGTGAGGTTGAATTTGGCGTTTGTGTTGTGTTGTGCCTCGTTTTGACCTTTGGGAGACGCGGTGTCCTCTTTGTCGCTGTGCTTTCCCGACAATTTTGGTCTCTGTGTTTTTGGGTAACCTACATCTTCCTAGTGTCGTTTTACAACCTTCGATATTTCTCAGGTATAAGGTGCGGTAGCGAGATCATGGGCAAGATATTCACGGGGAGGACAACGTTTAAAAAAAAAAATGNCGGGGAAATTCAAACGATGGCATGCAAGTATGCGTTGCAGCACAAGAGCAGCAGTGGTTGCGACCTTCAAATCACCTTGTGTCGTAGGTTTCAAACAACACCTCTTGTGGTCGCCTTTCTGCTGCGAATGCGCACCTTTTGACATATGTTTCGCCTTCATTGGCCCCGGGGATGGTGCGTTGTTGGCCCCGGAATTTAAAGACGCTTCCCCGCGTTTGGGGAGGGAAACGTGGTGTGTCTGTAGAGCGGGGTCGACTGTACTGTACTCAGCCCAGTTTATTATGAGTACCGGTCGCCCCGGTGGTCTAGTGGGTAACCTCGCAGTCTGCTAAGGGCCAGGTCATGGGTTCGAGTCCCGGCAGAGTGGGGGGGTGTACTGATTGTCGTGCATGCCGTAGTCGTTAGGCCATTGGCCTCGCATCCCTACAAAGCCGGGACGGAGCACGCCGGGTTCTCACNGGTCTAGTGGGTAGCCTCGCAGTCTGCTAAGGGCCAGGTCATGGGTTCGAGTCCCGGCAGAGTGGGGGGGTGTACTGATTGTCGTGCATGCCGTAGTCGTTAGGCCATTGGCCTCGCATCCCTACAAAGCCGGGACGGAGCACGCCGGG